GAACTATCCCATACCTTGGCGAATGCTCTAGCATTTACTAGATATAGGGCAGTCTGGTATATAAAAGAGGGTGACAACGTGACGAGAGAATAATGTGTGTGTGTGTAGACAGTGAGTAATTGATCTGCATCAGAGAGTATTATTGAGCACGTTCGTTGTTATAGCGTTTGTTTTGGCGCGATTGTTGAAATTAAGTGTATCGTAAAGTTATATTCGGAAAGAATAAACCAGTTTTATTAAATAAGAACTTGTGTCGCTAAAGTTTCATCGGAACGAAGTTACGGAAAGTTGATTAACAAACGGAGACGTAACAGTATGTTTATTTTACTAAAGAATCTACAGCTAAGCATTGATATTCTTCTTGTTAAAGTTATTCAAATCACCGAAGAGTCTAGGGCTAATTTCTTATGTCATGCACAAGAAGTAGCTCATAATAGAACTAATTTCTTTACTTAGGGTCACTAGGTTTACAGTAAGTGAAAGAAAATCCCATACCATCACGGTTGTTAATATGTTTTGCTATGTTTGGTTAATCTAATTTCATTTTAAAAACTACTTAATGCTAAACATTTTACCAAACAGTAAAATTCATGATCAAAAACCTATCAAGGATAAAAATATTACAGGTTTTATGAAATCACTTAATACTTGAAGTGGTAAAAAAATTGAAATGTCGATTTCTGTTGATGATAATAAAAGATACATTTTTTTAACAATTAGATATAGGTGTGAAGTTTTTACTTATTTGTGTATGTGTATGTGTGTGCAAATGTGACTTTTAGACAACTACAGTCCCCAAAATAAATTAATGAAAATGAAACAGATAATAAATATATGTTTAACAGCTATTAACTTCCAAAACTTTCATAATGGGAATCAAACTGATAAACATCAAACGTTTCTTTTGTGTTTAATTGACATTCCAACTGAAGTCCAACTATTTTGTAGTATTCATGTCTTTTTACTTCTGTCTGAGAATATCTTGTCATATCTGTGGAAATCATCAAAATAAGTCTACTTAATAGCATCATACACAGAAAAAAAAAAGATTATATCTAACATTTTAATGTTATGGACGATCAACTTAAAGACAAAACTTGACTTCATGGACAGAACCTTTATTTCTTTCATAAGGTGCTTCTTGGTGATTATTTCACCATTCTTTGTTTAATCATGTGCATATGACAGCTTTGTCACTGAGAAAGAACTGTATAGACTGGTGTATTTAAGTGTTTTACACTCACAAAAAATAACCTCCTATCATTCTATACGTATTTGAAGAACTTGTAACTAAATTGTATTGAAATGTTACAAGTTCTTCAAATACG